CCATCCATCATCTCCACTTACCTCCTCGAAAGCCATTTGGATCATAACAGTCAAGAGTTGCTGTTGTAAATCCATACCCGCCGCGATGCTCGCCGTAAAGCCACAACAGGCATACGGTGCTGCTGCTGCTGCAGCCGCTGTGAGAATAAACACTTGACGGAGAGTGGACGATGAAGAGCACCAACCTGCAACGGACTGTTTCCCTTCAAACGGCAAGTCTTGTGTAACAGCCGCGGCAACTGCAGCGTGATGGGAATGTGATAAGGTCATCGCCGTACTCTGGGCAACTGTTGCTCCTGTAATTGCTGAGAACAACAGGATTCCAGCAGATATCAAGTTGGATAAGAGTACGATTCAAGTACTATCAGAATGCCCTTCGGCAAGCATGTCAAGAAGAGGGACTTACTAGGCCTCGAGTCATGGAAGGGTTGGGAAGTCTGCTGCCCGCTCCCACTAGAGTCCATCACTGGGATGGTGGTGGCGATCTGCTTGAGGGCATCGAAACGTGTCGGGTCGAGAGCGCCGAGGGTGCCTATTGCTCGTATGGCCTGAGTGGGTAATCGATTCAACCAGGTTCGATCCCCAGCATCAGCATTCATACCTGTCGCCTAACAGCTGTATGTCCTGAATGCTGTGCATCAGCCCGGAGGAACTCTATCATGTATGGCAACAGTGGAGGGTGTTTCTCGTACGGTACTACTACCAAACCAGTGTTCTCAACCAGCCGGGAAAGCGTCCTGAGAGCCCACGTATATACTAAGTCTACTAAGTCGTATAAGTCGATAATCTGATTCCCATACACTAATGACGATATCCCTACCGGTAAGTGACTTCCCTCTTCTTGTCCCACTGTACTGCAAGGTCACCCTCGCCGCCCGATCGGATATCCTGTGAGAGAATATGCACGGACCGAGATTCGAACCCGAGACCTACCTGGACATTGTCAACGAGCAGCTGTAGTATTTCATCAATCAATCCACTAGAGAGTATAGCCTGATCTGATATATCACTCAGTTGACCCAATGCTTCCAGGAGCAATGAGTGTACCTGCAAGCGATCCAATCACCCGAGTTCGATCCCAACACCCGT